GTAAACTTCGATAGAGTAGCGAACGTAAAAAAGCAGCACGAAGTGAATGTTGGTAAGCTCATAGAAAAAATCATTTGCTTTTTAGGACGGATGCGACTGACAAATTGCTCGTCACAGCCATCTCGAATTCGTTTGGGTTTGGAGGGCACAACTCCGTCGTGGTGTTCGCGCCATACAATCCATGAAAAGGATGGGTTTAAAGAGGCTATTACCTCTGAGAATTTTTTGGGAACTTTTATTTTTAAAAATAGAATTACTTTTAAGACAATAAAATGATTTTTATTTTTCCTTTTTCATTTACATAGTTGACTTGTGTTGACTACAGTTGACCTTTAGTTATAACAATTTGAAGAATCCCGATAGATTCCTTGGTTCCAATAAAGCTCAAAAAGTTTTGCGACCTCGGACAAAATCCTTGGCTTTTAGATGTGAGTAAAGTTCAGAAGGCTGGATTGGATCGAAATTGTCGAATGGTTTACGGGGGATGTTGCTCAGCTAACGGAAGAGAAGGTGTCTACAGTCACTGGATATAGCTTTTCTGGTTTTAACATGTCCTCGACAAAGCGAAATGACAGGCCCCTTTTTTCGCAAACAATTTTCAAGAGATGTAGAAGAGACACAAGAGCTTATTACTCGGCTTGAAAGTCGGCTCCGCATTGCGAGATAAGCTCATGGATTCCGAGTTATTCCGGTTTATTTCCATTCGTCTCGAGCAGCGCTCGCTTACAGGCTGCGCAAAGACGACCGGAGTCCGTGGAGTGCGTCACCACAGGAGACTTGTGATTGCCTTGCAATATCTGCGCATTCAATGGCCCGGCGAGCGTAAGCATGGAGTAAGCTTCTTGTATAAATAGCCTTGGGTGTGCTTGGGAATCGAGAGCGCGAGAGATCGTTGTTTCTGTTTTTTCATTCTTTTTTTCTCGAGCGGCACGCCGGTGCGTAGATCTCGGCTTTCATGTAAGCTTTAAATGGATTCAATGGATTCAGGACGCTCTTTCTGCTTCTCACTTGTTCTTTCGTTGTTGCAGTGTCTAGAGTTTTGGAGCCGGAGGGAATGGATCAAAAGACCGTGACGACGGTGTTGAAAGCGTTTTTCGTCGTTGCTGCTCTCGCGGCTTCCGCTTCAGCTGACCCGGACCAGCAACCGCCGTGCAACAGCTTCATGAGCGTCCTGAGCTGCCAGTCGGCGACGATGAGCGAGAGCGCCATGCCCAGCCCGGCATGCTGCGCCGCGCTCCAAAAGTTCCACGACGCCGACTGCCTGTGCCAGGTTCTCCTCTCGGCCAGGAGCGCCGCGGCCACCGCCAACGTTCCCTTCAACTTGAAAGCGGCGCTGGAGATCCCCATGAAGTGTGCGCTGCGCACCGTCAGCGCTCCCCCGGGATACTCCTGCGGAGGTATTGACATTTCTCTGTCTGCAGACATGTCTCGTAACTTTGCTCGATCTTGGCAGGCATGGTGGTTCCTCGATCGCCTCCGCCAACTTCTACTTAAAAACGCTGGAAAACCATCGCTTCCAAGATAATCAAGCAAGCGTCCTTCGTCTCTCTCCAACTGGATCATCTTAGTTAAGTGTGCAGCCATGCCAGTGAATAAAGCTTGGGCTTCGCTCGCTCTAGAGCTCAAGCGTGCTAGCAACAAATGCACTGTGCTCTCTAGCTTCCATCCAGAGCTCCAGGTTGTGCAGGCCAGCGCCAGCGCCAGCGCTCTCTTGTCAGCTTCTTCCACAGGATTCTTGATGTTCTCTCCTCGAGATCTCGTCAGAGAGAGCATGGGTGTGGCTGCTGCTACTGGATCGCGCACTGGGGTCGCTGACTCTTGCTGGCTTCATCGATTCGATGCTCACAAGCGAGCGCTAGCTTGCGATTAAATGATTCGTCTCGTTCGGTCTATAGTGTCGTCTCGTTCGTGAGCTCTTCTCTCTAGCTTCAAGAGCGCCAAAGCCGAGGAGATTCGTGAGAGAAAGAGATCCAAATCCAAGAAAGAAAAAGATAAGAGCGTGGACTTTAATTCGTGGCGTAAGTAAGAGGGATCGACGGACCCCTGTTATAGAAACTTTCCTCCTCCGTTCCATCCTCGTTATAGTAACAGGTCCCTGTTATGTCACCTCTCTGCCCGAGGTGAAAAGTGGCCCTTGGCCTAGCTACGGTTTCACGATTCACGAACGGACGGCCATTTTTTCACTTTTTTACTTCGCTGCCCGTACCGTTACTTACCACTGCGGCACTGCCCGCCCGTAGAGTCGCCATAGCTGGCCTGGGCACAAGCTTCTGTACGCCGTAGCACTCCGTATGGAGAGAAAGAGAGAGAATCAAGTTAACCAGAAATTACCATGTCACTCACTCGGGTAAGATCTCCCGGTTCTTACGTGAAGCTCTTTACGTGCGCGCTTGTTTTCTCATTCATGCCGTAGCAAAAATGCAGTATATTCCCCGCCCAGGTGTACCGCGAGAGGAATCCGGGTCTCATGTTTCCAACGTGGGGTTGGTCTCATGCTTGCGTGGCGAAAATCTCTCTCCTGATCTTTGGAAAAGTTGCTTGTCTTGATTTGCCGACCAAATTTGTTCGCCCGCCCTTTTGCCCTAAAATGTTGTGTACGGACATACATTGAACTGGGGCGAGCGTATAGTTTATGTTGTCGCCCCGTACTCTACAGGGTCTGGGCTCTTGTCTGGGGCCTGTCGACAGCCTTGTCTAGCCAAGAACACACAGACAGGAGAAATTTTCAAAGAATTATTGTGTGGATCCACAGAGAGAGAGAGAGAGAGAGAGAGAGAGAGAGAGACGGAGGAGTAACCTTTTTTTTTAATCTTGTTTGTGGGACATTCGCTTTGAGAGAATGCGAGTGGAAGGAGAGAGAGAGAGACCACAGAGACCTTCTCTTCTCTCTTTTTTTTTTTCGTTTTTTAGGGTTGTTTTTGTTGCTGGAGAAGCAGCAGCAGGCATTCATCGGCCTGATTGATCCATACAGCGGCATCGGGGACCGAGCCCTAAACCCAGATGATAGAAATAAACTCCTTTTTTTTTTCCTCGCTCTCTAAGTCGATCCTTGTCAAAGTTGGGAGTGTCGTGTCCCTCCTTTTTTCTGGACTAGACTGTTTCTTCAATTCTGCTGATTGTGAAAGCGAGAATGCAAAGGTGGTGGCAGTGCCAGGGGCACGGGGGGCAACAACCAGGTCAACATATTCGTATTTTAAAGCCCTAAAATCATCCGGATGCAGATCTTGCTTGCTGCACTACAAATGTGCCCCCGTTCATATTGGTTTTTATAACGCCGCGCGCATCTTTGCATGCCCTAATTTTGTTTGCCAGGTGGTGGAGACTTTTGTGAGTTTTGTCCCTGCTAAATACCTATAGCTACGAGCCACAATTACTTGCATACCACGTTGGCGCCGGGATCATTTCACGGCTAGCCACCGGCTACGTAGACTTAGACCTGACCTGTACGGCCGGGAATACATTGTAGCTGGCGCCAGTAACTACTAGCCAACGTAGACTCGTCATAAGTAAAAACGCTCCAGGTGAAAAAAAAGAGGCCCTTCCTTTCACCACACTTGAGGGTCGTCGTCAATGCAATTGCGCTGTGGCCTCACGCAACGCAAGAAGAATTGTATCGTTCTAGGGCATTAGTATAACGTGTATTATAGCTGGCCATGGCCAGTGTGTATGTACCACGGTACAACGCCCCCCATTGCTTTGCCAGGTTCTCGGGACGGCTTTTGATGACGATGGCCGGCGGTGGTCCCCGGTTCGAGCCGGGGGTGGAAATGGGCGCGTACGGCCGGCGGCGGGGCGGCCACCGTACGACGGCGGGGAATCGCGGGTGGAATATTTGCGCTTTTGCCCTTTAGCGAGGTGGAAAGGCTTGGGGGGTAATTTTTATCCCTGGTCAGGTGCTCGTGTGTGAGGGTGATTTCTTGCGTGTGTGGCGTGAGATTTTGATTCCTCTGCGAGAACAGCGACCCGATCGAAACTCCAAGGCGTAAGAGTTTGGGTGATTGAGGTGGCTTGATTCTGTGTGGGGGGGAATTTGGGCTATCATAATCACCAGTGACCACCGCCTGCAAAGCGGGAAGCATTAGCCCGTGAATTATTTGGAATGGCATCATTACTTGCTAAGCAATGTCGGGGAATCCCTCGCTAAAGCGAGTATTCAAATAATTTTTATAAAAGTCAATAACTCTGCAAGAAACATAAACCTCCAAAGCTGGAACATAGCGTTATATAGAGGAAAATAAAAGGAAAAAAAAAATAAAGAATAAAGATGAGCAAATGTGAGCTTGTTATTGTTGTTTGTATGTTGTCTTAAAGATTCCATCCTCCAATTGCACAACATTGCAACACTTCTCTCCTTTTGACAATTGGTCTTACTCTCTCTCACACACACACACGCGCCTTATCCACAAAATGCCCACAAAGTACAATTGGAAATCAAAACCCTCACACAGAGCTATCTCACCAACCAGCTCGATCGCAGCAAGTTACTTTGTTACTTTGTGAAAAGTGAAATAGATGCCGCCGAACATTCCATAGAACATTCCCAAGCATATTCTGTGGAAAAAGTAAGAGACGTACCTAGATTAAAACAAGGTGTATATTGTGGGCTCCAAGGAAAACAGACCAGAAGCAAGCAAGGAGACATGCCCCCCAACCGACCCACCATTGGCTCAGCAGGCCCAGGTATATTCCCCCAGTTCCTGCGATGTGGCCCCCACCATGGCCCCCCCGTGTGTGAGCTCCAAGTGGTCCCCACTTGTGCCGGGTGCCGCATGGACATCCCCACCATGGGCGCGGTGGCGTGGCGGCATAAGTGGGCCACCGCGCGGTGATCTTTCTGCCACGTCATGTGCCCGCCACGTCAGTTGGGACATCCGTAACAACCATACCCATGTTGGACGGTGGCGATCCCTCCCTTTATCCTTTTAGTGCCCTTTCTTTAGACCTGATTTAAAAGTAATCCCCTCGCGGCGGGATACCTTAACGGAGTCCTAGGTGACCTTAACGGCGTTTGCGGGGGCTTTTGACGGCGCTAGTTAAAACTTCACACCCAATTGCAAGCAATAGGTGGGCGAGCTCCCGGCTTGGCGATGGACTCCTTTTCGTCGCTCAGCGCCTCCCTCTAAGCGCCTTGGGCTAGGGTTTCGCGGCGAGGAGGGGTTGCGCTCCACGGCTGGGCGCTAGGGACGGGCAGGGGCTCGGAATATCGTGTTCTTGGAGGGGATTAGGCGGGGTTGTGCGTTCTTGTTGGATTTCTCGGGCAAAGGTAGACGCGCGGCTCGGAAATTCCCTGAAATTTCGGGGTTTTCTTGTGATTCTAGCGCTAGCTGCTTGTGATTTGGGTGGAATGGCTTGGAAATTTCGTGTAGGAACGCATCCCCTTTCTCGACGTTGTCTTTGTGACGCTCTCTTTCCTGCCCTTCCATCGATCTGGTCTTGTCTGGCTTGTCTGGCTTGGAGTCTGGCTTGGAGTCTCTGTGAGATTTCTGTCAAGCATTGGCATCCTTGTCTCAAGATTTCGTATCAGCCGACTCACGATGGAATTTTCTTCGTCGCAGGGGCTTGGATTTGGGACAAGGATGTGTTACGAGCGGCTTGGCTCGTAGAAGGCGATGTTGTCCTCTTCGCAAACGTATGGGCAGCTAGGGACGATGATGCACCGCCCTACTCCTCAGCGTCCACAGCCCAATCATGGTAAGCAAAGGTTTTAAAGCTCGCCATTGACGGGGAGATAGAGATCTCTCCCGTGAGCGTTTATAAATCCCGTCAAGTTTTAAAGCTTGTCTGCCTAACACCTCTCTCCCCTTTTCTCCTCGCAGGAAACACTAATGCACTAGACTCGGAGGTATGGCATGCATGCGCAGGGCCACTTGTGTGCCTCCCCCGTGTAGGAGATCGGGTGGTTTATTTCCCTCAGGGTCACATAGAACAGGTGCACCATTGTTTGGTAGGCTCAGAGGACGCGCACTAAAGTCTTGATGATTGTTTTGCAGGTAGCGGCATCCACAAATCAGAGCGCGGATATGCAAATGCCGCATTACAATCTCCCCTCCCAGATTTACTGCCGACTTCTAAACTTAACGCTGGGAGTAAGTTGGTCACCCTGGTCTTCCGGTTTCACGTTCTGATCGATCTTCTTCTTCTTTCTCCTCGTAGGCGGACCGTGAGACTGACGAGGTTTTTGCTCAGATGACACTAGTTCCCGAGAACGAGGTAGTTTTCCATGGTTTCAAAGCCGGTTGCTTACGAATTCCTTACAGCAAGGAGATCAGTCGATTGATACCGAAGATGAGCTATCACCGTGTCCAAAGAGGAAGCTGTCCATGTTCTGCAAGAACTTGACGTCCTCGGACACAAGCACGCACGGAGGGTTTTCGGTGCCACGGAGGGCAGCGGAGGAGTGCCTACCTCCTCTAGTAAGCTCGAACTGTCTACTCGGTTTGATAGTGCTTACTGACCACCTGGTTCCCTTTTCAGGATTATCAGCAGTCGCCTCCAGCTCAGGAGCTGGTGGCCAAGGACTTGCACGGTGTGGAATGGAAATTCAGGCACATCTACCGAGGACAGCCAAGGAGGCATTTGCTTACCACCGGCTGGAGCGTGTTCGTCAGCCAGAAGAAACTTGTAGCTGGCGACGCAGTGCTCTTCCTGAGGTATGCATTGTATCAGGCCATGATGTCTGGCTCTGACTGACATGGTCGTGTGCAGGGGAGACAATGGAGAGCTACGGATTGGAGTTCGGCGTGCCGTAAGGCAGCAAAACAGCGTTACATCGTCATCCTTGTTATCCAGCCATAGCATGCACTTGGGTGTTCTTGCTGCAGCCGCCCATGCAGTTTCAACAAAGACTATGTTCACGATCTTCTACAACCCACGGTTTGTTGATGAAAATCGACTCGACTGAACAGACATCTCACTTGTTTTCCATATGCAGAGCAAGTCCTGCGGAGTTCGTTGTCCCTTACCACAAGTATGTCAAGGCTTTTACTCACAACTTGTCTGTCGGGATGCGATTTAAGATGAGGTTCGAAACGGAGGAGTCATCCGAGCGACGGTAAGCTGTCACTTTTCCGTATGACACATTGATGGACGATATTTTGTTCTAGATATATGGGAACTATAACTGGGGTGGGAGATATCGACTCGGATAGATGGATCAACTCCAAGTGGCGCTGTTTGCAGGTATGCTTGATTTAGCTCGCAGCTAGATACTTACATCGGAGTTATACAGGTTGGCTGGGATGAGCAGACCGCAAATGAAAGACAGGAGAGAGTATCGCCATGGGAAATCGAGCCGTTTATAGCACCCAACGTTGCCAACCCTCCTACCACGCAAAGGGTGAAAAAGTTCCGGCCGAACACTCCAGCCAACGAATTTCCGACAGGCAAGAACAACTCAGATTCTGCCCAAGCGATGCATATGAGGGCCTTGCAAGGAAGTCATGCGCTGGGTATGCCCTCCAAAGAGGAGGAAGGACTCCGAGGATCGTCCCCGTTTGCTGTTTGGCCATACAACCGAGACGATCTTAAAGGTGAAAGCTGGATACAGTTGCGGACGGCAGATGCACCAGTGATGGATATGTTCGGAAATATTATTGCCCCCGCTGGACGGCATATGGATTCCAGCAACGTTGAGATGCACCAGCAGCTGAGGCATTGTCTGCAGCAGCTAAGGGACCAGAAGAGCTGCCACTTCGACGCAAGCAATTCTCAGGTCCAACTGAGCCCGAGGCTATCATCTTTCTCACCGTATCAGCAAGGTGACGCTGCAGACCTGCACCTTTCTACACCGAGGCCGACAAACCACGGCGTGGTGCGGGATAGTTCTTGGCTCTCACCTCTGGGGCCAACACAAACAGATGCACAGGCCTACGTTGCAGCCGACACGACGCTATCTATGCAGTTTTCAAAGTCGGAAATGACGACCGAGCGCATGCATATAGATTCCAACCCAGATCACGAACCCCGCGAGCACAGCTGCAAGATATTCGGCTTCTCTCTGATCGAAAAGTCGCCGCCAGCGGCCAGCAGGAACCCCGAGGAGGCGAGGTTGAATCCTTCGAGGGGCGGAGAACAGATGACGAGGTGTTCGGGCAGAGCCGGGCCGTCGGCTGGAAATGGGAGCCTCGAGCACGAGCGGTGTGCCTCGAGGCCAGCCTCAGCTTGGTCGCTGAGAACTTGCACGAAGGTACGAAGCTTCAACAGGCTCTGCTGGCGTGACGAAACTAACTGCTGTTTTGGGTGTGTGTCAGGTGCACTTACAAGGCGCTGCTGTTGGCCGTGCCGTCGACTTGTCCAAGTTCAGTTGCTACTCGGAGCTGCTTCTAGAGCTACAACAGTTGTTTGGACTGGACAATGCACTGGATGACCCCGACAGCGGTTGGCAAGTTGTTTACACCGATAACGAAGGCGACATGCTGCTTGTGGGTGACGACCCTTGGCAGTAAGTATCCTTATCCCTCCCATCTCTCCGTCTCTCCTTTTTCTTTGTTTCTCTATCTTTCAGTTTCCAGTCTCTTTACTTGGCTGACAAGGACACTTGCTTGACTTTTTTTCGCGCAGGGAGTTTTGTAACATGGTTCGCAACATTCGCATCCTGTCGCCGGCGGAGGTGGAGAAGCTGACGCAGGGCGCCCTCGGCAAGAGCGCTGTTGTGGAGGAGGAGCCGTCGACGAGGGATGCGTCCAAGCTCTCGGACCACCAGGATTCGTCGTCGCCGCCCGCGATCTCCACCAAGGGGGCCGCCTCGGATCTCTAACCCCGTGTCCTCCTTACGAGCACTGTATGATTTTTGCGTGGTAAGTTTCACAAGGGACAACTTTCCAGGTTTAATCGATGGCAACATCTCGAGAGACACAAGCCCAAGAAGAAGATGATTCTTAGGTGGTGTAGAACGAACGAAGAACGAGCGAGACGAAAACAAAAAAAGAGAGAGAGAGAAAGAGAGTCTGCTGCTACTGCCAACTTTTAGATGTATGTGCCTTCTACTCTTGTTTGAGTGCTCCATGTACAAAAACTGGTGCTTAAGTTCTTTTGTGTAAATGGGATATTTGGGTTTTAAGAATATTCTTTGTATCTAAGTTTTATAATCTAAAAGTCAGTAAAACACCATGGTTAAAGTAAAAAATGGTTTAAGCAGAGTGTTCTTAGGTTTATAAAATTTACTTTAATACCGTTACTGTATTACTTCAACCTTAGAAACGCGTGCTCGACTTTAGATACGAGAAAACGAAGAGCACAAAAAAAGCTTGAACAGAACGAACTTACTTACCTAGAGGTGGTCCTCGTACTCGATGAGCGGCGGGACGGCCTCCTTGATCCCCTTCCTCTTCCTGATCCCGGCCACGATCACCCCGGCCTGCGACGCCGGATCCAGGGGGTCGCTCGCCACCATCTCCCAGTGATCGAACACGCTCTGCGGGAACGCCTGCCCGGACGTGGCCGCTCGCAGCTGCGTCGAGAATCCAAACGACTCGATCACCGGGAGGTAGGCCTTGATGCTGTAGAGCGGCGTGCCGGGCCTCCGGAGCTCCTCGAAGACGTGGCCGCGCTTCTGGTTGAGCACGCTGTAGATGCCACCCAGCGCCGCCTCGGGCGCCTGGATCTCCACCAGGTAGACGGGCTCCAGCAGCCTCGGGTTGGCGCACAGCTGCGCCGCGTACATGACCCTCCTGGCCGTCGGCATGATCTGTCCGCCACCCCTGTGGATCGCGTCCGAGTGGAGCACCACGTCGCACACCTCGAAGCCAATGCCGCGCATGCTCTCCCCGGCGATGGCTCCCTCCTTGGACACGATCTGGAACGCCGCCACCACCGAGTCCTTGATCTCGTTCAGGTACTGGACTCCCTTGCACGCGTCCACCACCAGGTTTGGCCCGCTCGTCTCGGGCCCAAAGCTCCAGATCTTCCTCGCCTGGTCCTTGTCCCAGCTGAACTCCTCGGCCATGATCTTGGAGCGGAGCTTGGGGTCGTCCCTGGGCCCGATCCTCCCCTCGTCGATGGCGTCGGCGAGCCCGTCCTCGAGGGGACGAGCCTCGAAGTAGAGCCGGTTGTGCTTGTTGGGGGACTTGCTCATCACCTGCCGGGACCTCTCCAGCACCGTCTCCCGGAACGACACCACCGGATCCGAGACCTTGATCGCAGTCTGCATGAACTCGCTCTGCAGGTCCTTGAGGCAGATCTCCAGGTGAAGCTCGCCAGCGCCGGCGACGATGTGCTCGCCAGACTCGTCAATGCTGCACTGCACCATGGGATCCGACTTGGCTAGGCGTTTGAGTCCCTCCGCCAGTTTTGGCAGGTCCGCGGCGTTCTCGCACTGGACAGCAACCCGGACGACTGGAGAGACCGAGAACTTCATGGCCCGTATCGGATGAGCGTCCACCTCACTCTCGTTGGTCAGGGTGGCATTCTTGACGATGAACTGGTCCAGCCCGACCATGGCAGCGTTGTTGCCGCAGGGGACGTCATCCACCGTTTCTTGCTTCTTTCCCATCCAGATGTGTGTCCTCTGGACGCTCCTCACGTACAAGTCAGTCTTCCCCCCGGGAACATACGCCGGTCCCATGATACGCACTTTCATCCCCGTAGCCACAGTGCCCGAGAAGACTCTTCCAAAAGCGTAGAACCGGCCGTTGTCGTTAGCCGGGATCATCTTGGAAACGTAGACCATAAGAGGACCCTTAGGATCACAGTTCCTGATGGCAGCAGCGTACTTGTCGTCCAAAGGCCCCTCGTAGAGATTTTCCACGCGATACTTCTGGGCCACCACTGGTGACGGGAGGTGGTAGATGATCATTTCCAGCAGCGCATCGCTCGCGGGCAGCCACAGTTGCATGACACGCTTCATTAGAGCTTTCCCGGATTTTTGCTTGTCTTCGCCCTTCAAGGTAACGTTAAGCTTCTGAAGCATTGGCCTGTCCACAATAACACAAAGCTATTAGTGTGACTAGAAAAACGAAGAAACAATCTAGCTTACAAGAGCTTGTCCATCTGGTCGTTCACCGCGATGTCGATGATCTGCTTGATAGGATTGTAGATGAACTGCACGAACCCACGCGTACAAGTGGGAGAGCCAGTGTTCCTGGTCGTCCACTTCTTTGTCGCAGGATCAAAGTAGTTCTCGCCCCACAGCTTCTCGACCATCTTCTTCTCGTCCACCTTAAACTTCGACGCATACATCTTCGCGAAGGTCGTGAGAGTGAAGCCCCAGCCGTGCAAACCAGCCCCAAAGCCCACCGTGCCTCTCTCCGGGTAGACCTGGACATCGCCGAGAAGCTTGTCCTCGTAAGTCGACAAGATCACGTTGGCGTTCTCGATCACGCGCTGGAAAGTCTGGTAAGCCTCCTCTCCGTCGAGCTGGAGCTCCAGGAAGCAGCGATCCATCTTGTTGACGACCAGGACGGGCTTGATCCTCTCCCCCAGCGCCTGCCGTAGAACAGTCTCGGTCTGGACGCAAACCCCTTCCACGCAGTCGACCACCACCAGAGCGCCATCGGTGATCCTCAGCGCCGCGGTGACCTCGGAGGAGAAGTCTACGTGCCCGGGAGAGTCGACAAGGTTGATCAGGTACTCGTTCCCGTCGCGGCTCCCCCGGAAATCTTGAGGGAAGAAAGAAAGAAACTCGCTTTGCTTAGAAAGAATCCCGGCCTCGATCTGGAAGAAAGAACCTACCTTTCAGGGCCGCGTCCGGCATCGTGTACAAGAGGGAAATCCCCGTGGACTTGATCGTGATCCCGCGATCCACCTCGTCCTTGCGCGTATCGGTCATGCGGACATTGCCGGCGTTGTCGAGCGAGATGAATCCAGCGGCCGCGACCAGCGAATCCGTGAGTGTGGATTTCCCTGCGCGCCTGGGCATGAGAATCGACAAGGACACAGAGATTTGTCGCCGCCTCACCGTGATCGACATGCGCAATCACCGAGAGGTTCCGGATGTTGTGCGTCTTGTCCATGATCCGCCGCATTTCCTTGGCCTGGAAAGAAATCGATCAGCCGCGCATCGATCCATCGCAAGAAAGAAATGGCGCTCACCATTTTCAAGAAGCTCAAGAACAAACTCCCTAGTGAATAAACCCTAAGGCTCGAATTTATGGTTCAAGCTATTTCTTTAGCCACAAGTAAGGCATCATTTAAGCATATTCGTATTTTTCCCGCCTATAACGCTTGTCTCCAGAAAAACGAAGTATGGAAGAACTCTTGAGAGATGGAAGAAATTCTTTAAGATACAAGAGAGCTCCCATATATCCTTGTGGCCACGATCACGCGAGAGCTTCTCCACAATTCTCAAGCTCCAGCGAAGAACACGGTCTCCAAAGAGCGTTCTTGCCATCCCCGACACCAGGTCTTTGTCACCATCGTCAGACCTTGCGTTTCTATCCAGTGGAAACCGCAGCATCGTGGAGGATTGGGGCGGATATGTGGCCTCTCCCACGAGGAGATTGCATGGCATGCACTGGACTTGTAGCGATGCTCCACCTCTTGGAAAGATTTCTCGTCGAGATGCATGGCGGCCTCGGCTGTTCTTGCGCGAACTCGCGCCTCGAGAGCAGCGATGAGCGCTCCATCGCTCTTTTGGAGATACTCTCGCCTAAGCTTGCGGGCTCTGCGACCTTGGCCTCGCAGCTCCAGCCACTCACACTTCTGTTCGACGTGGGACTTGAACGCTGCGGCGCTTGATCTCGTGATCTTATTCTTGGCGGTGACCCGGACGAAACCCACTGGATCGATCTCTCCCGAAGCCCACCATTTGAGTCCAACGGCAATGCACGGGATCTTGTCCATCCTCCCTGCTCGTATGTTGCACACCGCGGCGGCACAGCCGTAGTAGAACATCTCGAAGGCATCTCCGGCCATTCATCCGTGCCTCTTCCACCCAAAACTCCCAGAGTTATGTGCTGGTTGATGGCGCGGTCACGTCCATACATCCGGAGGAGGACTGCCTCGTTCGTGAAACTCTTGGCTTGCTCATCGAGAGGAAAGAACTCGGACAAGTCACGGCCCGCTGGAGCAGGCTGATCGAGTTGAAAAGCAAGGGAAGGACGAGGATGGAGAAGTTTACGATGAAGCTAGAAATGACAAAGAAGAAGACGAAGATGGTGAATAACTTCTTTGCAAACTCTCCAACGCTCTTGTCATCCTGGAAGGAATCAACACCTGGATTGTCGTAGCACTCTTCGAGGCGCTCTGAGGCAGAGAGGTGAATGCCGCAAGGAAGTGACCGACAATCGGCCGGTATCCGACCTCTGTCCGTGCTGGATCGAAAGCATTCCCCGACAACTCCATCTGGAAAGCCATCCCCTTGAGCGAAAACATGACAACGTCCTTACCGATCCTTTTCGAAACTTTTCACTGCATGATCCTGGCTGGACATCAAGCAATGGCTGAGCAAGCTGTAGCAAGTCCTTGGCCATTCGGGTTATATCCTACACAACAATCATCCAAACCTTTTGTTCCGGTAACCCTACAAAAGATATTCTAACCTTTTGAGTATATCAGAAGCAAAGATGAGTGAGAAATAGAAGAGAAATACCTTTGGTTTCATCCTCTTCGAACAAATCTGGAACTCTTGTTGGTAGATCTTCATACCCAGGGAAGTAGTTTAACATCCGGGGCCATGGGAAACGTCTCTTGTTCCTCTGAACGAAAAGCTGGACAATACGAGTGAACAGGAGCGGGCTTGGAGGAGAATCGTCGTAAGTGTCATTCTCTGTGTTACAAGTTCAAGCGTTTCTAGAGGAACGATATATAGAAAACTAGAATACCTGGAATAGTCAAGCGGAAGTCCACGTTGGGTGCCGCTGCTAGCAAAACTTTTGTTACCTCCTCGACAGCATCCTCTTCCTCCTCATCAAGCTCGTAAAGCTCATCAAACTTGGAACTCAACAGCCGGACTTCCAAAACTTGGAGCTTCTCGAGGTTGAGCTTTGTGTGTTTGTTGCTCCTGAATGCCTGCTCACCAACAAACAAATTCATTTAGTGAAGGCATGAGTGATCAGTAAGATGCAAAGCTTACTCTCAACATGCTCATGTTCATGCTCAGCTCTCAGATTTTAGGAAAGTGCATGAGAAACTCCATGATGCATAACGACTCTTGGCCATATGAAAATCCTGGAAAAAGTTTCAGACATTCCAACTGCAGCATCTTCCCGAGGAAAGACCATAAATATGATTCCAGCACTTCAAGTGAAAAATAACTTCCCACTACTTCCAATGTGCGTAAAAAACCGAGTGGAGAAGGAATCACCTCTACCTTGTCTATGTAAGAGAAACCAAGGAGCAGCCTCTCAAGGTTATTACCCTGTAGAAGTAATCTTCCCCTCGTATTTGTCAGTGCCACACCTTTGAGCTTTGGAGCATTAACAGTGAAGATGCCTTCGCAAAACTCTAGCTCCAAAAAGTTCATGTTGGGGTTGTGTAACTCGCAAGCACAAGTACTCCAAAAGCGTTCCCGTGCTCACAAACTCCTCCAATTCTCTCTTGGCACTCTCGCTTTTGCCCCGAAAGTCTAGAATGCATCGCTTGAGCCTCGCCAAGCGTGGGAGGGATTTGAATTGGACAGTTGAACTGATGGAGAGCTCTTCGAGGTGTGGAGATGCTAAGGACAGGAAGGAGAGATCTAGTTCTACTTCTTGGACACACAAAAGCCTCGGCGTGAAGAGATGGTTGCTGTTGCGCACTAGTGCCTCCCAGACTGCTGGATGGAAGCGATGAAGTAAAAGCTCTTCCAGACTGCGGAATGATTCAAGGAAACAGCAAAGCATTCGGCGGCGATACGGGTGGAACCCGTATGGCAAGTACCCTGGCTCTTCAAAGCGAGATATATCCCTGAAAGCCTCCCTCCACAACTTACATACCCTTCGAATTGCGATGAGCGAGTACATATCTTGCAGTTTGTTGAAAATCCACACAAGGAGTTCCAAAGGAAGACGCTCTATTGCGTTCGAAGATGGAGCCATGGGAAGAACCCTAGAATATTTTACTTAGGCTAAATTCTGCATTATCTCATGCACTGGAACCTCGAGTTGCTTGCTTGGTTTTCTCACAGCGTCCTTTGCTTTGGTCAGCCAACCAAGTGGAGGTTTGTGTTTTGGGACTGTGGCATACACATCTTCATCACAAGCAATTCCACACATTTAGTGCCCGATCACCATAGTCGAGCTCCATCTTCAATCTGCGGCAAAGCACAACGAATAATACAGCAATTGCAAGCTCTACAAAGTTGTTTTTAAGCTGATTTTCTTAATTCCACAAGAAAAAGCAAAAGGCCAGAGCTAGTTGGTATTGTTTAAGCTAAATGCATACAACGCCTTCTTGGTCGTAACTAGATGGAAAGTGATTACTTGTCAGTCAGCCTTCCTTCAATTCTATTGTCCACGAATGCTAGATCTGGTTATTTGATAGTTACATGGTGAAGAACTAATGTATCGATGGATGAGAAAGGCCATGCAAGTCTAGAGGTGCTAGATTGTCCTAGACTCCCTTTATAAGCCCAATCCATTTCCCTCTCAACAGTGTCTCATGTCAAGGATATTTTTCTCTCATTCCATGGCGGCAACAATGCTGGCAATTCTCATCACCCTCTTTGCCTTTGCGTGCTCACCAAAACCACTCGTTCGCGCTGCATGAGGACATGCTCCAGGAAGTTTGTGTTGCGGACAACAACAGCACTATCACCATCAATGGCAAGGTTTGCAAGCCCATGGCAGCCGAGGACTTCAAGTTGGGTTTGCTCAGGAACCCGGGCAACACTGGCAACAGGCTCGGCTCCGCCGTCACCGCTGCAAACGTTGCCAATTTCCCTGAGCTCAACACTCTGGACATCTCATTTCTCTGGAGTCATTTGTGCTCCTTGACTACGCACCCGGCAGTGTCAATCCCCCACACGTCACCGAGCTCCTCTTCCTCGTCCAGGGAGCTCTCTATGTTGGCTTCGTCAGCTCTTCGTGCAGACCATGTATTCCGGCGAGCTGTTCGTGTTCCCCCTGGAATGTTTCACTTCCAGATCAATGTGCCACGTGCCGCCACTCCTTTTTGGGAAAAAGGATAATTCATTGTATAAATCTAGGTTTCTGTAAAGGATTTTACATTGTAGTAGATGGCGTTAAAGGATATGAGCTCAGTTGCGTGCATACCGCACAGATCTCATGGAGAGTTGTGTCTTCGGAAGCCTCACAGATCAAAAGTTTTTCCTATGGAGGGAGAGATTGATTGGATGGAAGATAACGATCATTATTATGAGTTGCTAAAAGCCAAGTTAAGGTTTGATATGTGGAAAGAGAAGGAAAGAGTGTTTACTGAACAACAAAAAAAGTTTTTAAGTCAATGTCGAGATTACTTTGTTGCCGGACTTTTGATCCTTACGGGTTTCTTATGTGTTAACTGTCTTATTCTTAAGGAGAATAGCTTTTACAATTGCTATTATGGTTATAATGAGGTATGTAAAATTGTGTGAATTAATTTTTTTCTAATACTTCAATGTCTTTTCCAGGGATCTATACTCAAATATGGGTATTGCTTCATCACAGAGATGAGCAGTGGAATGTTTAGCATCATTTGTATGATAAATATGATGCTTTACATTGTGTGGATTTATTTTACGAGTGATATCAAACCCATCACCTTGTTTGTTAGTGGAGGTTTAGTGGGAGGGATGAATGTCGGGACCACAATAATTTCACTCAAGGGTCATTGGCCGGGTTGGATTTTAACATGGATCATCTATACTGGACTTCACACCATTCCAAATATATGCACTGCTCAATCAGTTCATTTCCTCAACAAGAACAAAAGGTGGAAGCTAATATTTCATTTGATTATGGGCTTGATCATTCCATTTCTCATGGGGGCAACAATGACACTTGTGGAGCTCCTGTGCGTAAAGTCGACATTCTGAATCTGTGGCAATACAACGAGCAGTTTATGCTTCAAGTGGTGATAGAGGAGTGAGGTTACTTTAGACAGAATTCTTCTAATTAAAGGTTTATTTCTTACCAAGTACAGCTACACTGGAATAAATTAGAAATAAATTTATAAAGATGTTTTAAAATGATAGAAAAATTGTTCAATCAAGAAATAATGCTACAAATTTGACATACATATATTAATATATATAAAATGTTAGAATATATTACATGTTATTTAGATTATCGATAGGATAGTGGACTATAATATTTCAGAACAAGCTAAGAGATGCAATACATGAGAATAACCATGTTATCATGTGAATAATCTGTAAGGATTCAAAATTGAATAAGATCTTGGCATTTATGTTTCTGATTCCAAGATTTTATAAAAAAGAATGTGCCTTTTATCTAATATTTACTTAACTAAATAGAACTAAAACATGATAATTTATATGATAATATTTTCTTAGAAAATGGATTGAGAGACTGCTGGCTAAATTGATCAATCAGTTCAAAGCGCTAAGAAGAAAGCAAGATGGAGTTTTAAGAAAATAAGCTTTGCCAATGCATCACACCCTCTAATAGAACTTACAATACATGTTCTTCCACTATTTTCTTTTTCTCTAACTCTTTTCTTCACATTAATGTGAAGTCTCCTTCCAGATTGCTCCTCGATCTCCTTCTCATCAGCCTCGAGCTTGCAAAGCTCTAGCATTCTCTCATTGATGAGATTTCATACTAATTCATACTTGTTTGCATTTGGCAGCATTCGAAACAATCTCTTGAGGATATATGTGTGATAATTGGCTTCTGGACGATTCTGAAGTGCTGGTATATCTAGAGCATATGGAAGCAAGCGTCTCCATGGTCATATTGTCCTTTTGCTACTAACCTATGAGCTATCAAGGCAAACAATACGAAAATTCAATTCATTATTTCCCAGGAACTCACTATCCAAAAACCCATTGACACAAAATGAGATGAGCCATCAAGCCAAATAATGCCACAAAAATTTCTTCATAGATTTGCTAGAAATCGTAGAGCTCACTGGCAAGTTGTTCAGGGAACTCCTGCGACCAAAGAGCTCCTGGAATCTCCACAAAGTTGACTGCTCCCTTGGCACCTAAGGAGCTTCCATCTCGGCTCTAGAACGCCTTGAAAACAATCATCATCTTTCTGCCAAAGAGCTCTATGATTAAATTCCCGGCTCTTCACTGGATCGAGCAGGCTAGTGAGGAAGGTGGCTGGACCGTAGCAAGCTTCTGGGAGCAGAGAGAGGCAACTGTCGACAATGGCATCAGTCACATTGCTCAACTCCCAGTAGACGTGTTTTCCTATGTTGCTTTGGCTTCTCACAAGTGCGTTATAAAGAGCCCAGCCATGGCAGTATCTCACAAAGCTCCTCCATACCTGGGCATAAACAATATAGAGTTAAGCAAGTGAAAAAAGATTTTGGAACTAAGCACTACTTTGAAAAGACAAAGTTCATAAGAGACAATTTACAACTTAGCATTCCAACTGAACCAGCAATCTACTTGAGGTACACAAATACTTCCAATCATCATTTTTGATTCAAATAAGCACGACCCTCAAAACCAATTCCCTGAAAGAAATTCCTTGGGTTTTTAAAGGGGGGGGGAACCAAAAAAAAGGTCCAAAAAAGGGGGGGGGGAATTTGGGAAAAAAAAGGGGGGTTTGGGGGGAAGGGATTTTTGGTTTTTTTCCAAGGAAAGGGGGGGGGAGGGAAAAACCGGGTTTTATTTTTTTGGGGGGTTTAAAGGGTTTGGGAAAAGATTAATTTTTAAACCCCAAAAAAAAGGGGGCTGGGGGCCAAATTTTTAAATTTTTTAGGGGGGGGGGACCCCTTAAGGGTGGGGGGTTTTAAAAGGGGTTTGGGGAAGGCAAAAAAAAATGGGTTTAAAAAGGGGGCCCCCCCCCCCCCCCCCCCCCCTCCCCCCCTCTCCCTCTCTCTCTCTCTCTCTCTCTCTCTCTCTCTCTCTCTCTCTCTCTCTCTCTCCCCCAGTCTAAAGTCAAAAATTTATAAGAATGCTTTATTTATTTGTTAGATGGAGAATAAAGCAACCAAAAAGAACAATTTAAAAAATAATATAAAGGTTAGAGAAAGGGCCTATAAATAAGAATGCTTCTTTCCTAATGAATTATGGGTTCTTGCGATATTTAGGGTTAAAAAGAATATTAATATTGGGCTAGGTTCAAAACGAATATTATTTTCTCCATTTGAATTATTGGGCTGATTAATCTTTCAAAAAGTCCAAATTCAAAAATTTACATTTAGTATAAAGAGGTATTGGGTCTGACTTTGTTGCTTAGCTAGAGGAATCACACTATATATCGAAGTTAACACCTAATGGTCCAATTTGCTTTAGCTAGGCTCAATTTGAGGGAACAAAGAAAATTGTTACTAGACAAATCAATATTATAAATACTTTTGCTTGTGCTGATTGTTATGTCTTACCATATTGCATCCTTAGTTTAGCATTAAGTAAATAGTCGTCCATGTAAAAAAAAAATATATAACAAGAGAATCAGCTTTGATACAGAGAAAGAACATACTTTTATTCTAGTATTACATGATTACTACTTAAACACCCCCAAGATCTATAAAGTGCATATATTAATCCTAGTCTAATTTTGCTAGCACCCAAATAAAATGCAAGCTCTTGACCTACTTTACTAGAATATTGTGAGCAAGAGGAATGTAATACATAACCACAGAAAGGGAGTAGTTGCCAATGCATAGATATCACCTAAAACCTGCTCTTTTAAATATATAATGATGATTTTAGTAATAAAAAAAACATGACTCATCTCACAGTAAGTATGACAGGTGAGCTCTTTAGGAAAGAGAAGAGGAATTATGGGCAAAAGAGCTCAATTTTGCAATGAATGCATCTTTTAGACTAACTAGTGTTTTCCATCAAAGTTTGTTACAACTAGGCACTTGAGTTTGGAATTTAAACTACATCAATCTAGATTTAAATCAACAATATATATTCAAAATATAAATATTTATCTATGTTTTTTTTTCATAGATTGATGCAAGTATATATTATTACAGCATGAAGATATTACTACAGCATGAAGTTGTTGCTTGAATTTTTAAAATTATAGCTTGGTTTACAATCATGGTTGAAATTCCTTTTTCTTTTACTAAATACAATTATATAACTTTCAATATTGTTTTGTAACACTATGAGGTAACCTTCTTCTTCACAATAATTTGTTCCATATTTCATATAATAACAATTGATTTATTTAATAGTAGTGCTTTTCCAGTTTAGTATTATCAATTGATGAATATGTAATTTAAGTTAAAATTCTTAAAGTTTTGTTAGAAAAGAAGTGGATATTATAAATTATTCATGACACATTTATGGGCATAAAAGCAAACCACAATTTTCTTCAATAATTATAAACTAATTTATTTCTAAATTTAAAAAAATAAGAACTTAAATAAATACTTTTATAAAAATTATTTAATAAGATTAAAAACTACATAATTTTGAGTAATTGGATTGAAGAAAAACCCTACTATTTGCTAGTTTAGTTATTAAATCTGGTCCAGTTATTTTGAAATGTGACATAATCTTAACAATGAAATACTTTCTATAAAATTAGACCTATAAGGTCTATAAATATATATATTTATATACATGCATTAGTTGCCTAGGTGATACACTGAATATAGGACTATAGCATATAGATAATCTATTTGAGACTAAATTAGATCTATCCATTCTTGTAAATAAGTAGGGGTTTAAACTTTAATTAATATACCTATTCTTATATCTTGAATACTCATATTGATGGAGGGGCATTGCAATCTGTCTCTAAAGAGCAAAGTTTTTGAGCAGTGTTTTGTTCAATGTTTGAGATTGTGTTTTTATTTTAATTCTTTCGTTCTCTTTTAGATCTAGATCTATATTAGTTTTTTTCTAGATTTAGGATTGTAGCTATTAGCTATTAACTATTCTTCTTTTTCAATCTCTATTATATTTTCTTCTTCTGCTATGCCATAATGTCATTGATTAATAAGTATATCACTTACAACTACTAATGTTACTCCATTAGATCGAGCTTTTGGTGCTATGCATATTAGTATTCTAGTTATCCTTGATGTATT